ATCGTAATGTAAATATCTGATATGCAGGATGTATTTTCATTGTTACAAATTGAACATAATTAAAGCATAGTTATTAATCACAAAAACAATATGTAATTATATATGTGTTTTCTGATGGTCTTAGGCGACCTGTGTGAAAGAGTCGTTTGACCCCCAAAGGGGTCGCGACCCACAGGTTGAGAACCGCGGGCCTAGAGACTTAGAGGGACCCAGAGAAGCCAAGAGGGGAAAGTTTTAAGAGCTAATGGTCAATCTTATCTGATGGGGATGGGAAGGGGGTAGATTAGATAAATAGATGATTGATAGATAAACAGATAGGTAATCAGGACAAAATTATTACGTTTTGGAGAATAAGAAGTCCTTGGTGGATGAGAGTTGGCCAGAGGTGGAGAAAAGTGGGAAAACAAGGGGCTAAATGAATGAATGAGTTAGTGGTGAGAAAATAAAGACAGGTGATTACTCTAAAATTGCAATAATTTTTTGTAAGTAAGATGGAAAAGAGCATGATGGGGGGATGGAATTAGACAAGTGATGTGCATTTTAGGATGGGGTTTGATGGCAGGGCCAGGGTGGATCCTGGGTACTATGCAGACGGGGAAGGGAGACTAGTGACAGGGAAGGATGAGGGACAAAGTGGGGATATCAGGGAGCAAAGGAAGAAAATCAACCAAGCTCACACTGTTTGGCTTCATTCTGTAGGATGGACACAGCAGTGCGTGACTTTGAGGTCCTCCCCGCTCAAGTGACTTGGAAACTACCACATGAAAGCCAGGGCAGGATTATGGTTTCCAGTCCCACTTCCAGATCCAGTCCCCCACATGGCCTACTATTCTTGCATACAACCAGAAAAGCACTATTTATCATTCCAAATATCGCTGTCATCCATGCTACTTGGCTCATTCCAAATTACACTCAGGACGAAATAGAGCTGTTTTCTTAAAACTGACTCTGTGTACCATATCTGAATACCCTTGATACTGGAATTAGCCTTTATTCACTCTTCATATAACCAAAGCATAGGCATACACATACATTTATGATTCTTCCTATCTAGATGTCTTTGCTCAGTAGTCTCTATGTATCTACATACTTCTTACCCTTCCAGACTCCTTCTTGGGGCCTTCCCCAGCCCCCAGAGATCTCTTATCTTTGGGGGTTCTCCTTGCAGCCCAGTAGGCCAGGAAGTATGTTTTACACCTGCTAGAGCCACTTTTTCTTTCCCCAATGTGACCTGCCGAGTGTTGGGCTTAGAGTGCCATTCAAAAAACAGACCACCAAACATAAACCAATCTCATTAAAAATAGTGGAACTTCTCTCCAGGTTCATCCATGCTGTTGCAAATGGTATGAGTTCTTCCTTTTTTATAGCTGCATACTATTCCGTTCTGTAAATGTACCACAGCTTTTTTAATACATTCATCTGCTGGTGGGCACTTGCATATGCATATGTGCATAACCCATGGACACAGACAATAAGGTGGTGAAGGCCTGGGGTGGGGCGGGGGATGGAAGTGGGCTAGAAAAGGCCAATGGGGGTGGGGGGGGGAGTGAACATATGTAATACTTTCAACAATAAAGATTTTAAAAAATAATATAGAACTTCTTTCTAGAAGGGCAGCTCTGCTTTGTATGCTAAAACAAAAGGAGGAATCCCCTACCCTCCTTCACAGGCCACCAGGACAATGACACACTACAGGCTTCTACCACAGCCTCCTAACGCCCTGCCTCCCTCTCTCTCCCTACATCCCAGTCTCCGCATACTATCTAAAATACAAATTGGGCCCTGCATTTTGGTACCCAAAACTTTCCTAAGCCCCCAAAGGAAATTCAGTGGAAATCCTTAACATTGGAGTACCAGCCCTTCGAAGTTTGGCCCCTGGAGCTTCTCAAAAATTCATCTCCCCGAATTTTAGCCTCTGGCTTCTGTCATTTGGAAGAGCTCTCATCTAATACTGATCCCTTCCCTCATAACACTTTCTCCCCCACCCCAACCCCTCCATATTTTCACCAAAGCCAACTCCTACCCATCCTTTCTTTCTGAGATTTAGTTGTCCCTAGAAAGTCCTCCGTAAGCCACACAGAGAGGTGATCCTCCTATATGCTTCCATTGTGCCCAGGATTTACCCCCTGCTAAAAGGAATCATTTTGTATGGATGGTCATTGCCTGTTCACTGCTGAAATGAATGTGTGTTTATAAGGAAAGGAACCATTCTATTTTCTTTGCCTCTGTACCCAGCAAATGCCTGGCAGAGTAGGTTGTTGTTGAATATTTATTGAATAACTAACTTATTGAATAAGTAAATGAATGCTTTTTCTTTTGGAGTCCAATGTATTTCTGAACCTCACCCAATATTTGAACCTCTAGACCAGTGATGGCGAACCTTTTGAGCTTGGCGTGTCAATATTTTGAAAAACCCTAACTTAACTCTGGTGCCGTGTCACATATAGAAATTTTTTGATATTTGCAACCATAGTAAAACAAAGACATATTTTAATATTTATTTTATATATTTAAATGCCATTTAACAAAGAAAAATCAACCAAAAAAATGAGTTCGCGTGTCACGTGTGTCAGAGGTTCGCCATCACTGCTCTAGACAAAGCAACCAGACTTGAGCGAAAAGGGAGTTATCTTCCCTTCTTATCTGACCTTGGTAGCGTGAAGAGAAGCCAACATCTGTGACACACTCCCCCAAGTCCAGATTGTGGGCGATTCAGACCACAGAACAATGCCCACAGTAACCATCCATGGGCAATACCAGCAACTGTGCCCAGACACTGTATAAGGAACCGCTTTGCACAAAGACAGGGCAGGATGAGGGTAAGAGGACACTGCCTGGGCTTCTGGGTCTCAGCCCAGGGGCAGCCTGGGGGAAGGGAATGTTTTTACGGGGTCAGTTTGATGAGCCTCTTCTCCCTTCTCTGACCAGAAGGCTGTGGAGGGCAGTGCGAGAGATGCCAAAGTGGAGCTCAGAGGAGCATGAGCAGAGAGGAGATGGAGCTCCTCCCTCCAAGTCTGCTTATTTAACATAACAATATTGAGCAACTACTCTACGGTGGGCACAGTGCTAGGCCCTGGGGATACAATGTGAGTAAATTCACCAGCTGTCTTTCCTCCCTTCCTGCAGCTTACGGTCTAAAGGTGTAACTGGCATTATTCAATCACATTCATAGATTTAATGTACATCTTTAAGTTACTTCAAAATAACTGGTTCAGGTTATGGGCATGTAAAATAAGGGGATCTGGCCCAAAGAAGGCCTGGCAGGCTTCCTGGAGGAAGTAACCAATGGAGTAAGAGCTGAGGGGTGAACAGGAGGACATTAGACACCCAGGGGAGTTGGAGTGCAAGAGAAGAAACAGCCTTCCCATCTTCACTCAGTTCAAGAACCACTTCAACCAAGTTCAGTTCCATAGGTCCCATTGGCTGCTCCTCAACCCACATCTATATTCTATTTAAAGAAAATTGAGGCTGTCCTGTGGACTTTTGTGGGGGGACTGCCCATAGGGAGTGTAGATTGCAGTGATGGGCTGGGGGACCCGCCCCACACCTAGTCAGTCAAGCTCTGACCACCCGCCATCCTCATTTGAAGAGCTAGCTGCAAGGCGTGAAGGGACAAGTTCCTCTCCAACTGGGATCCAGTGCCGCAGGCGGAAGGAAAGGCCAGCGAGAGGCCAAGTGCCCAGACCGAGTGAACTGACCCCTATTTCAGCAAGAGCATGGCGCAGCAGCTATATTTGAAAATCGAGGTAAACAAGAGCTCGGCTCAAGTGGATGGGGCACAACAGCTGTGGGAGATTAATCACATGGGGCTGTAAGTCACCAGGTCGCCAGCGGCCCCAGGCTTCCCTCTCGGTGCCCCAGCAGTAGGCCAGCTGAGCTCCTCTCACCCACCCCCAACCCCCTCCTCTTGGGTGTTTCCTGACCACCCAGGAGCCCCACGCCTTGCTCCCAGCTGCTGCCTGCGTTTCTGGAAGAAAAAAAAAAACAAAACTGGTCACTAATTTCAATCCTTCTGCCCAGGAGACAGACCACCAAACCTTCTGGATTTGCTTTTAAATCGCCAGAGGGGAGAGAAATAGGGAGAGAGAGGAACCAGGCGGGTAGCGAACGGTAAATTTATGGCACTGCATTAAAGGCGTGTGTTCTACTTAACCACACTCAAGCCCTCCACGGTTAAAAATAAAACACGGTGAATAGAGACGAAAAGCTTCTTTCCCCCTGGATTAAATGGCTTTCTTTATGTCCTCCAATGGCTCCGCTACTCAAGGCAGGTCAGGCAGGGTCTGCAGGAGCCGCTCTAGCTTCTGAATGACGGCCTGTGGCTGTGTGTGTGCGTGGCTGTGTGTGTGTGTATGTGTGTGTGTGTAATGTAAGGAGGGGTGTTGGAGGGGTAGTTACATACTTCGCTTCTCTCCACCTGGCCCGGGACCGCCCAGACCACCGCTGCCTGGAGAGCACAGAACCGAGACTGGAGAGCACAGAACCCAGCCCCTCCTTCTCCCCGCCCCTAGGCCGCCGCGGGTGGGTGCGCTGGGGTTGCAGTTCCCGACCCGTTGCCGTGGAGTCCGGACGTTAGGTGCGCGCGTGCCGGGGAGCACGCGGGCGCGCGCCGAGTGGATCAACG